AAGGAGACTTTGATCCCTGCTGGGCTCCAGCTCCTAGAGGGAGGGGCTCGGATTACAGCGTCCCCCTCCCTGGTTTAGCCAGCCCTTCTCCGCCCCTTGGTGACCCTAGTGGTCAGTTGCTCTGAGCTTCAGGGCCTCTGGCCCCTCCCCGGCCCTTCCTCTTCTTCCATTCCCAGTCCTATGCTGACCAGAGCCTGTGAGCCACCCACAGTGGTTGGGAGAGGGCCAGCCAGTACTTTGTGGACAGGTTCTGAGAGACCCCAGAATACCCATTCACATTGCCAGAAAGGAGCATCAGCTGTGTGCTCTAGCCTTTGGGGGGGTTGGGCCAAAGAGTCACAGAAGAGGGTCCTTTGAGGCAGGGGTAGCAATCCTAGGCCCAGGACCCTGTAAGGTGGATGCCTGTAGGGAGTCCTGGCTCCACGAGTGGCTGGTGGCCACACACTCCCACCCCCTGGCCCTGTGGTCCCCATGCCTGCCCCACAGCCACTCCTGCCTCTGCTCTTTGTCATCGTGCTCATCCATCTGACCTCGGAGACCAACCTGCTGCCAGAGCCTGGAAGCCACCCTGGCATGTGCCCCAACCAGCTCAGCCCCCACCTGTGGGTGGACGCCCAGAGCACCTGTGAGCGTGAGTGCACCAGGGACCAGGTGAGCACTAGCATCTCATGGGATCCTAGACCCCGCCCCAGCTCTTTCCTCAGTGGGTGGAGTAGACCCCAACCCTACGAGTCTGCTTTCTCCAGGGCCCTCCATACTCATTTCCCTGGATTTGGGGCCATGACCTGTACACAGGGTTCAAAGGATACCCCCACCATTTTGCCCTCACCTGTCTGAAGAAGAAGCACATCTCCAATTCCTGGACTGATTGATCCTCACCAATACTGTCTCTAGCCTGCCTAAGCACCACTTTCTTTCTTGAGTCATGTGGACCCAGGCCTCTGACCTACCCCTGCAAATAGTACTGCCCTGCCCTGGCCTGCCCTGCCTGTGGTCCCTTCCTCACATCCCAGACTGAGAAGGGGACAAAGAACTCCCTAAGTGGTGCGCCCTCTGATGGCAGAGCCGCAGCTGCTAGCGCACTGCTCCATCGGCAGCGGGGGTGCTAAGGAGGCCTGCTTGGGGGTGCTGAGGATTACTCAGTGGGGTTGAATAAGGTGACACACGGGGCCTTGCTGCTCATACTGTTGAGAAAGTACTGCTACCATTTTCCACAGAGAAGCAGGCTTTAGGAGAGGCAGCCCCTTCTTGGGTGGAGAGCAGGGCAGGGCAAGGCTGGGAAGGGGTCAGGGCTCCACTAAACTGTCCCTGTCCCTCAGGACTGCGCGGCATCCGAGAAGTGCTGCACCAATGTGTGTGGGCTGCAGAGCTGCGTGGCGGCCCGCTTCCCCGGCGGCGGCCCAGCAGTACCTGAGACGGCAGCCTCCTGCGAAGGCTTCCAGTGCCCACAACAGGGCTCTGACTGTGACATCTGGGACGGACAGCCGGTGTGCCGCTGCCGTGACCGCTGTGAGAAGGAGCCCAGCTTCACTTGCGCCTCTGACGGCCTCACCTACTACAACCGCTGCTATATGGACGCGGAGGCCTGCCTGCGGGGTCTCCGCCTGCACGTTGTGCCCTGCAAGCACATTCTCAGTTGGCCACTCAGCAGCCCGGGACCACCTGAGACCACTGCTCGGCCAACCCCCGGGGCTGCCCCCATGCCACCTGCCCTGTACACCAGCCCCTCACCACAGGCGGTCCACGTCGGGGGGACGGCCAGCCTCCACTGCGACGTCAGCGGCCGCCCACCACCTGCTGTGACCTGGGAGAAGCAGAGCCATCAGCGGGAGAACCTGATCATGCGCCCTGACCAGATGTATGGCAACGTGGTTGTCACCAGTATCGGGCAGCTCGTGCTCTACAATGCCCAGCTGGAGGATGCAGGCCTGTATACCTGCACTGCACGTAACGCTGCGGGTCTGCTGCGGGCCGACTTCCCCCTCTCGGTTTTGCAGCGGGCAAATACTCAGGACAGGGACCCAGGTGTCCTAGCCCTGGCTGAGTGCCAGCCTGACACACAGGCCTGTGTCGGGCCCCCCTCCCCTCATCATGTCCTTTGGCGCTTTGACCCACAGCGAGGCAGCTGCATGACCTTCCCAGCCCTCAAATGTGACGGAGCTGCCCGGGGCTTCGAGACCTACGAGGCATGCCAGCAGGCCTGTGCTCGCGGTCCTGGGGACGCCTGTACACTACCTGCAGTTCAGGGCCCCTGCCAGGGCTGGGAGCCACGCTGGGCCTACAGTCCACTGCTACAGCAGTGCCACCCCTTTGTCTACAGTGGCTGTGAAGGCAACAGCAATAACTTTGAGAGCCGGGAGAGCTGCGAGGATGCTTGCCCTGTACCACGCACACCACCATGTCGTGCCTGCCGCCTCAAGAGCAAGCTAGCTCTGAGCTTGTGCCGGAGTGATTTTGCCATTGTGGGTCGACTCACAGAGGTACTGGAGGAGCCGGAGGCTGCGGGTGGCATTGCTCGGGTGGCCTTAGATGACGTGCTCAAAGACGACAAGATGGGCCTCAAGTTCTTGGGCACCAAATACCTGGAGGTGACCTTGAGTGGCATGGACTGGGCCTGCCCGTGCCCCAATGTGACAGCTGGTGACGGGCCTCTGGTCATCATGGGTGAGGTTCGGGAAGGGGTGGCCATGTTGGATGCCAACAGCTATGTCCGAGCTGCCAGCGAGAAGCGAGTCAAGAAGATCGCAGAGCTGCTTGAGAAGAAGGCTTGTGAACTGCTCAACCGCTTCCAAGACTAGCTTTATCCGTAATCCCCATCCTTGCCCTCCTTCCTGCTGAATAAAAGTCTGTACCTGTGGGATTCACAGCCTCTGGGTCTCTTCTCGCTGCCGCCCCCTACCACCACTGTCTGTTGTTCAGTTGGAGTCCTGTGAGGAGATGGAGCTCCAGTTTCTGCTTGAGGGTTATCAACTAGCACTGAGTCACTCTTGGGGGCCCTCCTACAGACCTACAAGTTTCTCTCCAGGGACATAGGAGGAAGCCAGCTCAGTCCTGCTTCAGCCACCTCCAAGTCCCAATCTTCCCTCAGGCCAAGCCCCTTTCGCCCTCCCCCAGGTATTCCCAGCAAGCTGTGTTACAGATGTCCCACAGTGGGCTGGAACGGCTTTATTTCAAGGCCCACTGGACCCAGGTTCTCTGTAGCACTGTGGCCACCAGACTAGGAGGGGCTCATTTATCCCGAGGAATGACTCAATGAGGGAGGGGCTTGTGCCATGACAGAACCTTTGACAGAGATGCAGGCACATGGGAGGTAGGAAATAGATTATTCTTTCCGGAAAATCAGGCACTTGTTGTTGGCTGGCATGTCCACCTAGAAAAACACTTTGCTGGAGTTGCCCTTAGTCACAGGGAGATTACCCACCCCCACATTGCCCTGCCTACCATCCTCTCCAGGACCAAGCCACTGGCCTGGCCTAGTTCCTCCAGGAGAGCTGTGTCACGAAGCCCCCACTCTGGGTTCCTGCAGTCAGGGAGGGAGGGAGAGGTCACTTGCAGAATTGAAGGTATCATCCAGCCCACCTGCCCTCTGAGCCAAGCCCCCTCCCACCCAGGTCTGACCTGCATCTGAGGGTCAGGTCAAAGTCCACGTTGCTCTGGGGAAAGATCTTCCCATTGACTGCAAAGGGCTGTGGGAACAAGGAGACACAGTCCACAGACCCAAGGTCAGTCGTCCCCATGGGGCTGATTTGCTGGGATCCAGAGTATGCAAGGAACACCCGCTTTCTGCTCCCAAGAAAGAAAAGGGCAAGGGCCCAGCCTCAGGGCAACTAGCGACTGGGGAACACCTAAGGCTGCTAGGGGCCTCTTAAGGTAGGGTCACTCACCCCATAGGTGATCAGCACAGCCTTGGTTTTAAGCAGCTGTCCGGCTGCTTTGAAAAGCCCCTAAAGAGAGGAGGCAGGGTCAGCTGGACTGGGCGCTCAAGACTCAGGCCTCCCTCCCTGCAACATGAAAGCTGGACTCCACAGTGGTCCTCACCTCAGTGCAGTTCAGGGGGCTGATGTGGATCATATTGATGCAGAGCAACAGGTCCAGCGATCGCTGCGGGATCCCGCCCCATTGCTCCCACTCCCAGGTCACATCCAGGTACAGCGGGGCCTTCACATTGGACAACCCTTGGGCTTGAGTGGTGGCGGCAATGCTGTGGAGAGCAGCGCGTGGGCTAGGGCCAGCCGTGCCCCTCAGTGGCTCAGGGGCTAAATCCCAAGGAGCGGCCAGCAGGTAGTTTTGTCGACCCTGCAGCCGGTCGCGTCCACTTCCTCGGTCCAGCACCCAGACCTGGTCCCGCCCTCTCTTCCCGTCGGCCAGCCCCGCCGGACGCTCAGACCCAAGCCACCGCAAGTGGGAGACACCGCGCCGCCGCACCTGTCCAGGCATCGCTGGTCCACGTCCGACGGCTGCCACTCGGCGTGCGGGAAGGCCTGCGCAAAGTGCGCGGCGTGCTGGCCGGAGCCCGAGGCCACCTCGAGCACGCGAACGCCGCGCTGGGCAGGATCCACATACTGGCGGAGCACGCACAGGATGGGCTCCTTGTTTCGCTCAGCAGCTGCAGCCACCATCATCGCAGCGGCGCTGCTAGCCCAACTAGGAATGCGCGCGGGGCACGACGGGAGCTGTGGTCCAGCTCTTGCGCGGGGCACTACGGGAGTTGTGGTCGTACCGAGTGGCCGCCTGATGCAGGGAAACTGTCAGGAGGCCGCTCAACTCCTTAAAGGGTCCACACGGGCCGGAGACCGGCCGGCGGGTGGGCTTGGCTGTAGGTCTCAAGGTATCAAATCTCCAGTAGAGGCAGGCTGTGGTTTACCGGAGTCTCTAAGCTGCAGGACCTTGTCAGGGCCAGTGTTTCCAGCGTGTTTGTCACATTGAAAGTTTGTTTGTTGCGTTTGCGCCACACCTTTTTATGAAGGATGTTCAGATTACAAGGCCCATCAGCGATGAACAGAAAAGCAAAAACAGACTGCGCCGCCCGGGAATCGAACCCGGGTCGCAAGAATGGGAATCTTGCATGATACCACTACACCAGCGGCGCTCTTGAGTGTCTGGGCCGTCCACAGGATATACGAACTGTGACGTACACTGACCAATGCAACAGCATTGCGCATGCGTCTTTTCTTTTGTGCTCCAGTTCTTGGTTGACAAGAGTTTGCAAGACAGGATAGCGCACTGGATCCCGAAGTGTTGTTGGCGGCCCTTGAAAAGGAGGAAAGGTGGGGGACGCGAGTTTCATAGACAGCTAGGATTTAGTTCTGCGCCGTGGAAACCATAGCAGTCACAAGCACTTGGAAGCTATGGGGCAGCGGTCAGGTCCTGACGTCCGACCCGCCAAGCCTTGAGGGCGTGGTCGTAGTGGGTGGTAACCGAGTGGAGCTTCGGGGCCCCAGACGCAGGACATCTGGGACAGCTGTGGCTCAGATGAACTTTGTGTGATGCTCAAACGGCTGGCTCCAGCTCCAGGTCCAGCAGGAGGCGGTCAATGACAGTGAAATGAAATTCGAGGCGACGAGTGTGTAGATAAGGGTACTTTGCTGGTGGTCACCTGGCGTGGGCCCGGGTTGTGGGATTATCCATGTCTCAGGGCTGGATTTTAGAAAATGTCCCAGACGTACATTGGCTACTCTTGTCCGGTACTACATCATACCGCTTAGGGTTGAGCATGGCTCCTGCTTGGGGTTGCTGTTGAGGTGTCTGTCCAAAAGTGTGTCCAGTCAGCTGGAGTGGCCAGGGGTGTGAGTGTAGACAAGGTTAAACAATCTGGTGAGAGGTCTGAAGTCATTTACTAAAATTATACAAGGTCCAAATTAGCCTTCACTGATTTTTTGCAAAGTTGACCTCAGTTTTAAATAAAATAGTATCAGATCCAGAAGTCAGACAAATATTAATTGAATCTTTGGCTTTTGAAAATGCTAATTCAGAATACAAATGGGGTAATCAGGCCTTTGAAGGCAGGATCAGCACCAATAGAATGGATTAGAAATACTGCTGAGGCCCAGCGGTGGTGGGGAGTTCGAGGCCAGCCTGGTCTACAAAACAAGTTCCAGACAGGCTCCAAAGCTACACAGTGAAACCCCCCCCCATCTCAAAAAAACTAAAAAGAGAGGGGGAGGGAGGGAGGGAGAGAGAGAAAGAGAGAGAGAGAGGGAGAGAGAAATACTGCTGATATTGGAGCTCATAGTTATTATGCAACTATAATAGGAGAAGTAATCTCTAAAGTTTTAAGAAAAGCCGCCGGGCGCTCGCCTATTAATACCAGCACTCGGGAGGCAGAGCCAAGCAGATCTCTGTGAGTTAGAGGCCAGCCTGGGCTACCAACTGAGTTCCAGGAAAGGCTCAAAGCTACACAGAGAAACTCTGTCTGGAAAAAAAACAAAAAACAAAAAGAAAAGAAAAGCCAAACTGTCATATGTCTTGGCTGTGGCAAGCAAGGCCATTTCAAAGGGGATTGTAGGCAAGGTGTTCCTAGAAACAATGTTTCTTCTAGAGATAGTCCAAAAAGAAGGCCCCAGCCTTTTGGAATATGCAGAAAGTGTGGCAAAGGCTGGCATTGGACTAATGAAGGCAGATCAGCAAGGGAAAAACAAGATAATCCCTTGTCGGGAAACACTCAAGGGGGCCTCTTGCAAGTCCTGATATCAAATTCAAGTCTACCATTTCAGGTCAGCATCTGTAATTACACATTTATTAGAAATCCTGTCCCGGGGGTGGGGGATGGAGCACGCCTTTAATCCCAGCACTCAGAAGGCAGAGGCAGGCAAGTCTATGAGTTCAAGGCCAGCCTGGTCTGCAGAATGAGTTCTAGGACAGGTTCTAAAGCAACACAGAGAAACCCTGTCTCGGAAAAAAAAAAAATAATAACAACGAAAAAAAGAAGTTACATTTATATTAGGAATACCTTTACAAATTAAGACAATGCTCCAGCGTATGTCTGTAATAAAATAGAACAGTTTTTTGCATAGTACAACATAAAGCCTATTACAGACATACTACACAATTCTGCAACTTATTATTAACTTTAAATTTTTTAATGCTAGTGAGAAAGGAATAAGAGCTGCAGAGAGACATTGGATAGTAGGGGGAAAAAACTGCTGAATTAAATCAGCCTGTATATTTTAAAGTGTTGATCTCAGAACGGAAACCAGGATATGTGTTACATTGGGAAAGAGGTTTTGCTTTTGTTTCTACAGGAGAAGAAAAGATATGGGTACCATCAAGATTGGAAAAGATTAGATTCAAATGGGAAAGACCTCCTGAAAATCTTGTCTACAGATATGAAGGAGGAAATCAAGAAAAACTACTGAAATGGCTAAAAGACATTTAAGGAAATGCTCAACATAGTCATCAGAGAAATGCAAATCAAAATGACTCTGAGATACAACCTTACACCTGTCAGAATGGCAGGTTTTTGGTTTTTTGAGACAGGGTTTCTCTGTGTAGCTTTGGAGCCTATCCTGGAACTCATTTTGTAGACCAGGCTGGCCTCAAACTCACAGAGATCTGACTGCCTCTGCCTCCTGAGTGCTGGGGTTAAAGGCATGCGCCACCATGCCTGGCATCCAATCAGGTGTTTTAGGCAGGCAAAGTAACACAGCTTTACAGATTTAATCAAATGTAACATAAAAGAATGCAACACATCTTAAACTAATATCACACAACACAGTGGTGTGGATTTTGTACAAATTTAAGATTATTTTGTTACAACATACTGTATATATGCTTCTGCTCTTGTTTAAGGTATCATACCTATGCAATTCATGTAAAATGTAGTGTAAAGTTCTAGTCCTTGAAAGCTACTATTATAAACTATTTAAGATAATTGAGAAATGCAGGTTAGTTACCTATAGTTACCTATAACAATCAAACTTGTAGTCATGTTAGGTATGTTTTCAAGGTTAAACAGAGTTGTATTTTAGGTAGGTGGTCTTCAAACACTTCAGAGATCTACAGAACATGACATTTAAGATGTTTTAATAACATAAGCCTTTTCATGACAGTGAAACACGTTTAATCCTGGCAGCACTAATCTACTTCAAAGAAGATGATGGGCATTGAAGAAGCTACGTATGGAGTTCTTGCCTTGCCTTGGACTGCAAACAGTGTGCTGTCCAAATTGGACAAGCAGGACACAAAAGAAAGTAACTGCTGAACTTTGCCAAAATAAGGTTGGCCACTCCTTCAAAATTTCTGCTTCATAGAAAAGTGTGTCAGATAGTCTAGGCCTGTAGACCAAAGATGGATGCTCCAACATTTCAAAGAAGCTTGGGTGACTGTCTAGGAAGCCAGTTGTGTCTGTCATTTCTATAGTTTTGGAAGTTGCTTGTTCTGCACTTCCTGTTTACTCAGGTAATATTTTATCCTTTTCAGGTCTCTGATGGGGTTGTAGACTACATAGTTAGAGTTTTACAGTTTTCCTTGTTACTCGATTCAGAAAAGAAACTCACAAAAAAAAGATGTAAAATTTATAAAGGTTGAGAGACATAAAAGCTTAAGTTGTGGGCTGAAGAGATGGCTCAGTGGTTAAGAGCACTAGCTGCTCTTCCAGAAGTTCTGAGTTCAATTCCCAGTACCCACATGGTGGCTCACAACCATCTATAGTGGGATCTGAGCCCTCTTCTGGTGTAAAGGTGTACGCAGATAGAGCACTCATACATTATAAATAAACAAACCTTTAAAAAAAAGCTTGCGCTGGGCAGTGGTGGCACACGCCTTTAATCCCAGCACTTGGGAGGCGGAGGCAGGTGGATCTCTGTGAGTTCGAGGCCAGCCTGGTCTACCAAGTGAGTTCCAGGAAAGGCGCAAAGCTACACAAAGAAACCCTGTCTCGAAAAACCAAAAAAAAAAAAAAAAGCTACACAGAGAAACCCTGTCTGAAAAAAACAAAAACAAAACAAAACAAAAAAACAAACAAACAAAACCAAAGATCAGAAGTGCCAGTTCCTGGAGCTAATTTTGGCTTTTCCAAATGTGTTTATCTTTATTACCAAATTATCAGGGCCCTTGAGAGCATCAGGTCTTGGATTTTGTGTTGTGTTAGGAACGTATTATACGCTGGTCCTTCCACATTCTCCTAGCCTTGGCCTTTGTCCTGGCTTCCTTCTCTGGGCCCACTTCTACCTATTCCCTGTTGTCTTGGGTATGGCTTAGAGGCAGAGCTTGGGCAACACTTGATACATGAGTGTCCAATTCCACTACATTCTCCCTTTGTCTCACCACACCCTGAACTGAGCAGGACTCAGCCTCTTTACTTGGCCCAGTCCTGTGTGTTTATAGTTCCTCTCTTCAATCCCACAGGGAGTCCAATGTCCTTGAGACTTCTCCACAAGCCCTTGTTGCTCTTCTTGCGTTGCTGTGCCCTCTGTGGTTACTGTAACAAATTAACCCAAAGCCTGGGAGCTGAAAACAAACTCATTTTGTTACAGTTCTGGAGGTCAGAAGTCCAGAATAACAGTTTTCTGATCATTATCAATACCATCAGCTTTGGCGACTTGACTGTGACTTCGGTCTCTGCTTCATTTTCACAGCTACTCCTCTGTGTCCAGATCCCCATGTCTTTCTCTGAAAAGGGCATAGTCGGGATAGAGGATCCATCCAGTTCCATCTCACTATGGCTCTAGCTGAGATCTTCCATAACCCTCAGACATCAGCTTTCACAACTGGTACCCCACCAAGGCTCCGTCCTCAGGCAGCAGTGAGTGGTCTAGTGCATCTAGAAAGACTTGACTGGTAAGACCATCCCCCAACGGGCTATCTGCCCCTCCAGCGTGCCTTCCACTTCCTCAGCTTCCTGCTCCATAGGGACCACTAGATTTCCTCATCTCGGCCTCACCTGCCTATCTATGCCCTAGCCTCAGAACTCGCCCGGCCACCTGAGAGCCCTGCGAAGGCTTCTGCACCCAGCCTTGGACTTCTGATGCAGCTGCTGACTAGATGTCATGCCCTCTAGTTCTGGCCAACAATTATTTAAGCAAAGGCTGAGTTTGTCCATCGGGGAGGTTGTTTGATGCTGGGCTTTAGGCTTTCCGTAGTAGCTAGTAGGGGTTGCGAATTTCTTTGTAGAGAATCTGTTTCCAGAGAGCTTCTGTCAGTGTGTGGTATGCAAACTCCCCACACCAGGGCCTTGTACCTCCCTTACTGTGCTTCAGTTCTGGTCTAACTGATCCTTCCTGCTCCTGCCCTCAGTATGGCTGTCATTCCAGGGGAACCTGCAAAACCCAGCTCAGTATGGCTGTCATTCCAGGGGTACCTGCAAAAACCAGCATGAGGCCCCAGTGTCCTATCCTGCCTCCCTACCATGTGTGAGTGATTAAGAGCAGCATGCTCAAGGCCACCAGATTCAGGCTACAGTGGCCTTGGAGGGACTGGCTCTTTGGTTACTAGCGGGGGCGGGTCAGGCATTGCGGAAGTGGGAATGGACTAATTTAGCCAGGAAGTGACCCTTTCTTTCCATACATGCCCAGGCCTTGACTCCCTGGGCAGGGCTTGGGGGTGGGGGTGGGGAGCTGTCAATCTCTTCCCATATTCCCACTCAGCCTTTGCAGCCACAGGCCTGGTATATAGTTATTTCCTGGGGATTGAAACATTGCCTCCTGAATGAAGGAGGGAAGCGCTTGAGACTCAAGAAGCTTAGGGAATTTGAATCTTGTGAAGCTCAGGAAAGCCTCACATGCACATGTGCCCTCCCCAAGGCTGTGTAATCCGGAGCCAACCGCTGGGAGAGAGGAGGCTTGGGGAAGGAGGTCAGCTTTCCTGAGCTGTCTGTCACCTACACTTCAGGAGGTGAGAGAGTCCTGCTCTTACACGCTCCATAAGTGACCTCAATAAAATCACTGATTCACCAACTAGATTTGGCTGGAATTCTTTCTTTGGTCTGTGGTTGGTGTCCTATCTCAGCTGAGCAGACATTTTGCATGCCTCCCTAGTACATGTCACACACTCAACTGAGTCTTCACAGAGCTAGAGAAGGGGAGGAGGCCTTTTGTTCTCCAGCCCTGCTCTGGAGAACACTCTGTGAGAGTGCCCTGGGCTGGAAGAAGTATGGCAGCTTGGCCATCTTGGGTAGAAGTCCCCAGGAGTTCCACTGTCAAACCACATAGGTGTTTTGGGGTACACTGGAATTGAGGTGGATCAGCTACCTACCCTCACCCCTTTCCCACTGTGTTTCTTGCTTGAGTGGCCCAAGACTTGACAGAAGACCTGCCCCTCCCCCCAGTCCCTGGTTCCAGCTGCCTGACCCTTTTCAAACATGGCCATAGGGATCTTCAGGCCGAATGGCAGTGGCAGTCTTGGGGGATACATTTCAAGCCTCGCTCTACAGCTCTCAGCTCAGCGTTCATTTCATACGGGTCATTAAGGACAATTGGAGGGGTCAGGCTGCTTCCACCCATGCTGGGGTTCTTCCTTCCATCCGGGTATACTGGGAAATCCTATGGCTCTGCCCACAGACCAGGTGGGGACCTGGTTTTCAGCTTCCCCAGTAGTTGGAAAAGGGGGCCACCTCCAGGAAGGCTCAGGACATAACCTTGAGGAGAGGTTAGTACATTAGGGTTGGATGTCCCCTGAGTTCTATAACCTCCCTGCAGGGCAACCTTAATATTCTCATCCACTGGGGAAAGTCACAGAACTTCATATCTACTTAAACACTCCTCTTTCTTTTTAGACCAGTCATTCTAAGCAGGCCCAAGACAACGATGATTCCCATCAATGCAGGCTTGTCCAAGCACTTGGCTGAGGGGCCTCAAATAGCTGGAATACTGATTTGAAGGTTTGCACAGGCCCCAGCACACAGACGCTCCTCCCTCTCTAGAAGAGCCTCCCTCTCCAGAAATCTCAGACACACACACACCCACCCACACACACACACACACACACACGCTCCAATCTGGAGATGGCTCACACTCTGGCGTACTAGTTGGTGAATGCACCCCGCCCCTGGCTCAAATCTACTGTCTTGGCCAATTTTCTAAAGGGTTGGAAAAACTACCCAGTGGGCGCGGTTCCTTTAAGGGCAGGGGGCGTGTGTGGGTCGCTCCGCCCCTCCCCGTTTGTCCTCCGTCCTTAAAGGGCCCGCGCCCCAAGGACCGCAGAGTGAAGCTGGTGGAGGGTGCGGGATCCAGCAGCTGCGCACCATGTACACCATCACCAAGGGGCCCAGCAAGCTGGTCGCGCAGCGCCGCACAGGTGCGCAGGGCGGGCGGGCAGGCGGGACGTCCTGACCGCTGGCCCGCGGCGGCTGACGCGCCCTCCGCCCGGCCCGCAGGTCCCACACAGCAGCAGGTAGAGAGCAGGCTCGGCGAGCTCCTGAAATGCCGGCAGCCCGCGCCGCCGACCGCTCTACCCACGCGCGAGCAGCCCTCGGCGCAGCCTCAGGGACCCTGGCCCCTGGCGAGGTGAGCGGGGCCGCCCGGCACGAGGGTGACCTTGGAGAAGGTTGATGGGGACCACGCGTCCTGGCGGGCAGGGGGCGGGGCGCGGGCGGCCCGCGCGCTCCGGCTCGCTGGCTACTCCAGGGCCCAGCTGGCTTGCGTGGGCCCTGGTGGCCACGTGGGGCCTTGCGAGCTTGCGACTGCTCCTGCTTGTCAAGGACTGCAGGTACCCAAGACCGAGGGACCTGGCGACCTTGGGCCGCCAACTTGGACCCCTTGGGAAGCGGGAAGAGGTCAGAGTTGGGGAAAGTTGCCCAAGGCTCTGGCCCTCAAGGTCTTTAGGCCCTGTCCTTGCAGAAAAAAAAAAACTGCACGTGTTCCCCTCGGGCCTTATCAGGTCCCTGCCCTTCACTGATACCCTGGGGCACTGCAGCTCTCCTCCCCAGCAGGTGCCAGTGCCTGTCAGACCCAACAGTTCCTGACTTTCCTAACCAGCGGTGTGCCAAGGGCTCCAGGGAAGCTCATCCCTGGCCACTTTGGATTTCAGCTATTGTGACCTGGATGGGATCCCACTCCTTCAGGGCCGAACCTTACACTTCTTTGGCTCAATTTACTGTTTCCTGGGCCGGTAGAATTTGCTCCTGATCTTTGCAGGCATGTAGGCTTTTGGGCTCAAGACTCTGGTATAGGTGGCGTGTGACCAGCTAAGGGCTCTAGGGTCTCAGAGGGAGCACAAGTTGAGGATAATCTTTTGGAGGCCAAGACTAGCCTCAGCTGGAGAGTCGGTGTGACCGGCTTAGCCCCTCTTATCTCTCAGCTACTGGGCTTCGGATGCCATAGGTGGGAGGCACCTGTGTGGATTATGTTGGCTGTTCTGGCGGAGTTGAGGGCTTCCTGCTAGAGAGGCGTGTTGGCAACTCTGCTCCATTCCGGATGTTAAGTTCTCATGCAAAGGTCTGTCCTGGGGATGGGATGAGCAGGGCCTAGGGGTATCCCAATGGTATCAGTGTATGTCCGTCCTCCTTGCCCTATCTCTGGGAAGGCTCTGTGGTGTGGGTGTATAACCACAAAGCAGTCAGCATGGAGTTGGAGTAGCCTTGGTGACCAGTCCATCTCTTACCTGGGAAACCACCTTTTAAGTCTTCATTGTTGGGGGACAGCAAGGACAGGTTTGTGGCAATATTTGGGGGTGGTATCCAGGAGGAGGACAAGGCAGTGACATTCTTAAGTGGCAAGGGACACCAACACTGGCTGTTTACTGTAAACAGGAAGCTAAACTGGTGTAGAGGCCTGAAGTCACCCATCACAGCCAGTTAGAGCGCCTGAGGCCTGAGGGATATTGACTCCAAGTACTTGTGTGCACTGGGAGCTATAGAGTAGGGCCAGGTGTCCTCCCTACTCCCTCTGAGGCTTCTGGGAAGTTAGCTGCCCCTTTCTGGTCCCTGGACTGGTAATCTCCAGCTCCTATAGGGCTTCCACAACTAACCCTGCATCTTCTCAAGGGCATCCTTCAAAATCGCCTGTGTCCACCCACTTCCTTCCCTGTCTTGTCTCCCTTGGAGCCTTTCCTCAGCTACCATCTCTCTCTGACTAGCTCCAGGAGGAGGGAACATGGGAGGCACTGGTCACCCTCCTGCTAAATCTCCAATCTTTCAACCCACTAAATGGTTGAGTATGGGTGTTGCCTGTGATGATGGCCAGGGGTGCCTCTGACATACTCTTTCTCCTGGCAAGAGACAGACGGGAGAGACTCAAGATGAGGTCCTGTGATTGATTACCTGCCCCCTCCCCTGCCCCCAGAAGTAGATGGAAGAACGTTCAGGGACCACCAGGCAGAAGAGAATTGGGGCTGAGTCCAAGTTATGAGCACTGGGGTCAGAATAGTGCTAGGTCTTGAAGTCGATCCCCTTCATTGTGTGACACAGGCAGGAAGTTTCTCTTCCCAGGCTGAAAAATGGGTGACCAGTCACCTTGAGGGGGTAGGAGAGTACATGAGAGGTCCGTGGGCACTATGGCCTGGCGCTTCAGTCAGTGTCCCCAGGAGTGGTTACAGGTGCACTCTGGGACTGGTGCCCTTTCCCCTACAGAGCCTTGTCTTACATAACTATGGCCTCCAAGCAGGGTGGGGCGGGGCTTAGCTTTGGGGTTGTAGTCCTTGCCCTCTGGGGCCCCATTGCAATTCCAGGGCCACCACCTTGATCCCTTACTATTCACAGCCCCTGGCTGGGATTTCCTTCCTTAAGAATCAAGCTAAGTCACAGGTAGGTAGGCGTGGTAGTGCACACCTATCTGCATCCTGGTACTTAGGGCGATTTCTGGGAGTCTAGACCCTGCTTCAACAAAACAAAAACACATGTAAAAAGAATCAATGTCGAGCCCTCATGCTTTCCTGAAGTTTGAACCCCTTTGGGGTGTAGGTGGTTGCAGGCAAGGGGGGATTTCCATTAAGAGTGTTTTCATGCCCTCTGGTGCCCCGAAACCTCAGGTACCCTATGGGTCTGGGAGGGTCCTGCCTCCTTGTGGTCCCCACCTGCACATCTAAGATTTCTGTAGCCACCAGACCCTGCCAGCCCTGGGGCTGGCAGGACCCTGTGCCCCTCAAGACCCTCCTCTTTATTTTAGTGCCCCTCTGACCTGAGGAGGAAGCCAGAGCGGCGTGGGCCACCTGAGCCCAGGAAGGCGAGCAGGCCTACGGGGACCGCGAGTGCCTGGCGGAGTGGCAGGTGCAGCCCAGGACTCCGGCTCCCACCTCCTACTGTAGGTGCGGCCCCATTCCCTCCACGGCCCCTCCCCAGGCTTCATGAGCACAGGGCTTGGCCAGTTGCCGCCAGCCAGTCCACTGGGATGGCGCATTCCTGCCCTGCCCTGGGCCTGCTGGCCTGGGAGGGCCTCAGCCGCCCCTCACCCTGAGTGTAGAATGCAGCACAGGGCTATGGGGGGACGTCTCACTCAAGTTGCCCCTTTTTCTTGCCTTGAGGAGTGGGCCGGGCTTAAGGCCATATTCTTCCCACGCAGAGACGTCCCTCCCCAGCGTTCTGTGCTCATCTCCCTGGGGCCTGGGGCCAGCCAGGGAGGGAAGGGCAAATATTGATGCATCCTTGTTTGGTTTGCTTGCCGACAGTGGGGGTGTCATTGAGGTGACTGGGTCTGTGGGGGCATCTCTAGAAGGAGAGGGTGTCATGGGCTAGAGTTCCGATCAGGCAGAGGTTGAAACCAGGCTCCTGGAAGCCTGCCTGGCTGGGAGTCAGGAGTGGAGGAGTGCTCTGTGGGTGGGGAGGACTCAGGAGTGGAGGAGGAGTGCTCTGTGGGTGGGGAGGAGTCAGGAGTGGAGGAGGAGTGCTCTGTGGGTGGGGAGGAGTCAGGAGTGGAGGAGGA